GCCCCGCCGCCGCGGCGGCAAAGTTCGGCGGCGGCGGGCTCGACGAGTGCGGCTCCGAGTGCGTCGACGCCGGCGCCAGCGCGGCTGGCGGTCAAGTCAGTGGTGGCGGCGAAGAAGGCCCTCAAGATGGCCCCGCCGTCGGGGCACCAGCCGCAGCCGCGGCCGCCGCCGCCGAAGAGGATGAGGCCGCCGCCGATGAGGCCGCCGCCGAGGGCCGCCGCCGCAGAGGAGGCTGGCCCGCCGCTGCCTGCGGCAATTCCAGAGCCAGCTCGTTTCGTGCCCAAGGTGTTGCACAAGCCGTATGAGGAGGACTTCCCGGAGTCGTCTTTTGAGGACTTCATTGCGGAGCGCTGGCTGTGGGCGCGCGATCGCAGGAACCAGATGGTCTGGTCCCAGGGGCGCAAGCACTTCAACAGCGCCAACTACTTGGTCTTGGGCCTGGACGCGGAACGTAGGCGCGCCACAGAGGAGGAGGCGGACGCGGCCACCACAGGAGGAGGAGGAGGCGAAGGCGGAGGCCACCACAGAGGAGGAGGAGGCGACCCAGGAGGAGGCGGACGTGGCGACCATGGAGGAGGCGGACGAGGCGAACGACGGCGGCTTCTTGGCGAAGAAGGAGGAGGGTGACGAGATCAAGGACGAGGACGTGGTGAAGAAGGAGTTGAACCTCCAGGAGTTGAGGAAGAAGGTGAGGAGGACCAAGCTCACTGATGACAAGGTCAAGATGGCCCAGCCGGTGCCTTGACATCCGCGCCTAGCCCGCGCCCCGCGCCCCGCCGACCGCCGACGGCGACGGTGGGCGGCGGGCGACATGCGACAGACGACAGACGACAGACGACAGACGACGACGCCGACGCCGACGCCGACGACCGACGACGACGACGACGACGACGACGACGAACGACGACGACGACGACGACGACGAACGACGACGCCCGTAGTTATCGTAGTTACGCGTAGTTAGGTGCTGCGGCAGTGCTGCACGCTACACGCTGCCCGCCCACCCGCCGCCCGCCGCCCTCCGCCCAGCGCCCAGAACCCAGCGCAGCACCGGGAACTAGGGGCGCGAGGCGGCTCAATCGCCCAAAATGGCCAAGCAGGGTCTCGGCGGACGGCGGAAGCTAGCTCGCGGCTGAGGAGGGGAAAGGGGAAAGGGGGGAAAACGGGGAGGAGGAGGGGGGGGAGGGGGGGAGGGGGGTAGGGGGGAAGAGGAAGGGAGAAGGGAGGGAGCGAAGGGAGAAAGGAAGAGAAGGAGGGAAGGGGGAGGGGAAATGAGGGAAGGAGGGGGGGGGGGGAGGAGGGGGGGGAGGGGGGGGAAGTGGGAGGGTGGAAGCTGAAAGAGAGAAGATTAAGAGTTCGAGACGCACATGCGGAAGCTCGCAATGATAGTGAAGCTACGATGATACGATGAGGTTTGGTGTCTAGTCTGGGCTCCTCCTCCCTGCTCCCTACCCCCTAGTCCCCTCCTCTCCCTACTCCTTACACCCTACTCCCCCTCCCTACTCCCTACTCCCTACTCCCTACTCCCCTCCTCTCCCTCCCCATCCTCCGCCTCGCCTCCTCTTCCCCGTCCACCATCGACATCATCGACTCATCGCCATCGCCCTCTTCATCTTCCATGATCCCCCTCATTCCCTCCCTCGCAGCGGACGGGGGCGGCCTCCGGCGCCGCTCGCCGCAGGCCGCAGGCCACCGGCCAGCGCCGCGCCAGCGCCGCGCCAGCGCCAGCGGCCGGCGCCGCGCCTGCCGCAGGCCCCGGCCCCCGCCCCCCGCTCCCCGCTGGCGCCGCCGGCCGGAGGGCAGTAGGGGCACGGATGGGAGAGGGAGTAGGGAGTAGGGAGGGGGAGTAGGGAGTAGGGAGTAGGGGGGGGGAGGAGGGGAGTAGGGAGTTGGGGGGGGGGGGGGGTTATTTAAAGGGAGAGAGGGGGGGTAGGGAGTGGGGAGTAGGGAGGGGGAGTGGGGAGGGGGAGTAGGGACCATGAAGAGGTGGGGAGTAGGGAGTAGGGAAGAGTCAACCCTCAGCCCCAAGCCACTGTCCTGGCCCGCGGGGCCCTGCGCCTCCCTAACCTGCCCACTAGCATTGCCCCCCATATTCTCGCCGCCCCCTCTCTTTTATTCCTTCCCCGCCCCCCGGGCCCCCAGGGGCTGGGCGTTCCGGCTCGGCTCGGGCGCTCCAGCTGATTTTTCGGCACGGACGTTTCGGCTCGCGGCTCGCGGTCTCGGCGCGGTGGACGGGGGCTCGGGGCTCGGGGCTAACGACGACGACGGCAACGACGACAACGACGACGGCGGCGACCACGCGTTGAAGAGAGCCCCCCCCTTTCACAACTGAGCAACTGAGAGACTGAGAGTCTCAGGGCCGGCCGGCCGGCGGCCCAGGCGCCCCAGACCCCAGACCCCCGTGGTGGCACGTGGAATTTTCGTCGTCGTCGTTTATCGTTTTCGTCGTCGCGCGTCGTGCTCATTATCGCAGGGCGGGCTAAAGAGGCAAGAGGTAAGAGGTAAGGGGTAAAAGCCCCAGGAGGGTCCAGGGGGCACCAGGCGCCAGATGGTTCGTCGGGGCTCGATTGTGCGAGGATGTCTCAAGCGAAATTATTTTTTTCTGAGAAACGGGCTCAACATCATTTAAATTACAATGCGCTTTTGAATGCCGTCGATCGCACGAGGCCCCGAAGCCCGAAGCCCCAATGCCGGAGCGTGCGACGGCAGGTGGTCAGCGGGCTGCGCGAGAGAGGAGAGAGGGGAGAGGGGGGGGGGGGAGGGGAGAGGGGAGAGGGGGTGGGCCCCGCTGGCCGCTGGAGCCCCCGCGGGGCCCTCCGTGCTCCGCGCGGCCCACGCTGGGCCCCCCGCCCCCTGGAGCATCTCGGGCCCTTGGAACTTTTAATTGTGCAAATCTTGGGCCCCTGAGGGCCCTTTACATGTGCGTCTCGGGCTCTTTAGTTGCGCAATCTCGCCATCTCGGGGCTCGGAGCCCTGAGCCCTCTTAGAGCCTTCTTGCCTCTTGCTCCCAGGATACGGCCAAACGTAAATGTCCTAGAGATGTGGAAAACGGACGACGGACGTCTTCCGACGTCTCTGTACATGATTTAAATCCCTTCACGGGCCCTCGAAGACAAAGGTATGGAAGCCAATGGCGATGGACTGGCGGGAGGCCCCCGAACAAAATTGCAGCGCCTACCCGAGAATTGCCCCCTGATGCACTGGCGGGGCGCCGCTAGTCGCGCGACCTCGCGCGGCGCTCGGCCGCGGCGCCCTCGTTCGAGCGCTTCGTCCAGTTCTCCTGCGGGCCAGCGAGGGCGGCGGAGGGGGTCTCTTCATCGTCGTGTCGTCGTCCGTCGTCCGTCGTCGTCTTTGTGTTCGTCGCGTCGCCCGTAACCATTTTGGTTCAATGTTTATGCGAGCCGCGCCCGCGCCCATTGGCCCATTGGCTAGTGATCATGGATCCACATGGGCTGCGCTGCGCTGGCGAGCTTTGGTGGAGGCGCTCTGAGGAGCACGACGCCAAGAGGCAGCGGCGCCATGCAGCCCAGCTGTGGGGCTTCTCGGACTCCGAGGACGACGACGCTGGCCAGGCCGGCCATCGCCCTGATGGGCGCGAGGAGGCCATGAAGGGCATGGCGGACACGAAGGTGGCGGCGACGAAGTGCATGGCGACGAAGGGCATGGCGGACGCGAAGGGCATGGCGGATGCCATGGATGGCGGACGCGAGGGGCACGGCGACGAAGGGCATGGCGGACACGAAGGGCATGGCGCCACGAAGGCGGCGGACACGAAGGGCATGGCGACGAAGGGCATGGCGGGCATGGCGGACACGACGAAGGGCATGGCGACGAAGGGCATGGATGGTGCAAGCACGGCCGTTGCGTCGGCGGCGGCGACGGCATGTCAGACCATCAGGTCGCCCAACAATGCCTTGAGGCGCAACGACTTCCAGGGCGAGGGCGAGGTGCCGCGACGCATCCTCTTGTGGCGAAATGCGCGAGGACGCAGGGATGGTGCTTCGCCAAGCTGAGGAGTCATCGATATACATCAATGGCATCTCGCCAATCCTGACTCCTTCTATCCACAACCGTGCTGGGAAGTATGAGCTGTTCTCTCGGCTCAGGCACGGGCTGCGCCTGGCGCAAGAGCACCGTGGCGGAGATTACCATGGCATCGCCTGCATCGGCAGCACCTCGTGCCCAAGATGGCGGTGGGAGGGCGGCTGCTCGTGGCGGGATGATCGTGGCCGCGCCGAGTTCAGGATGGGCCATCGGTGCAAATGGGACAGGATGCTGGTGGTCGCCAGTTTTCCTGATAAAGAAACGGCGGAAGCCGAGCGCTTGGCCATCCAGTGGTTCGATCACTCCGGGCTCATTACAAATCGCGCGATGGACGCGCGCGGGCTGTGCATTCGCAATTACGCGTACTCGTTTCTTTATGTGTGCTATTGAATTCGAGGACATCGCGGGTTTCAGATACCGATGAAAAAGAAGTCATGTCTCCTCCGCCGTCCTCCTCCAACCTCCACTCTCCACTCTCAAACCTTCATCCCTCCATCCTCCTCAGACCTCTAACCACCTATCTCCACCCTCCTCCAACCTCCAACCCTCCGACCTCCAGACTCCAACCTCCAACCTCCAACAGCGACATCGACGACGACGAAAACTCTCGACGATTATGGGGGATTAAACAACAACGACGACGACTATGGCGGATGCGATGATGCTATGTTGATGTTGCTGTTTACTGTTCAACCAATGACCAATGCTACTGCTGCTGGACTAGGGCCCCCTAAGCCCCAGGGCGCGCCCAAGGCAGGCCGTCGTCGCAGAGCACAGGGCACAGGGCACAGGGCACATAGCCTCCCGCTGCGAGAGATGAAAAGAGGAGAGGCCAAGAAGATAGGGAAGCGTAGGCATATGTCTGGGATCTGGGGTCTGGGGTCTGGGGTCTGGGGTCTGGTTGCGCAAGACAGGGCGCAGCCGTCTCGTTCTAAGGGCTAGAGGCTAGTGGCGGCTCAACGGGCCCGCGGATCCAGGCGCCACGTCGGCGCGCTCATCATCCAATAGGAAATGCAGCCCATTGATACCACGTGCATGCCATTCCCCATGAGCACCCGGCGATGGCTGAACGACACGGCGTTCAGGTCGTGAGGGTAGCATTTGATGGCAGATTTCGGGACCACGCGCGGAGCGGGCCAGCCCATGGCGATCCAGCATTCCTCTGGGACCAACAGCCGCTCCCTGACAAGGTCCCAAAGCAAGCTGCCCTTGGTCAGCCTAGGCATGCGGCTAATCCGCGTAGTGTCGAAGCCTTCGGTCACGTCCAACTTGACGATTGCGGCTGACACGCTCCAATCGAAGCAGTTCCCCGCATCGTCGATCTGACAGTATCCTGAGTCGGCAGCGTTTCTCTTGGCGAACGTGAGCCGCTTCCGCTCGTGCGGCGTCAGCACGTCCTCCCATTTTGCATAGCCGACCTGGATGCCGAACAGACTGTTGCTTTCCAGGGTGCTGGCCATGCAAGCGTCTTGCAATTCCTGACTGCCCTGCAATATCATGTCGAGGGAGTTGGGCTGGTTGATGCATTTCTCAAACGTTTCCCTAAGATCGTTGCTCACGACCTCCAGCGGAGATTCCACCATATTCGCCAAGACGAAGATGCCGAATTGGCGCTTCCCACTCGAGGGGAAACCAGCGTCGCAAGGGGCAAACTCCATAAACTTCGCAGTGTACTTGGGGCTGAGAATGTTCAGCAGCAAGTCGGCGTTGAAGCCGGGCACGCACTCCTGCTGGATCGCGTCCGGCCCATAGTATCGGGTCGAATACGCCCACACCAACCTTGCAGGCGGCGCGCGGCAAATGCGCGCATCGCGGGCCTGGAGCCCCGAACCCCGAACGTCGCCCCAGACGCCCAGCCAGACGCCAGACGCCAGACCCCCAGGCCCCAGGCCCCAGGCCCCAGGTCCCGAGCCCCAGATCCGACTCGATAACTCGTGATGCTGCTCGGCGCAATGGCCGCGCGCCGCAAAGCCTCCGCCCTCCACTCTCCGCCCTCCACCCTTCACTCCCCGGCCGCGTCGGGTGCGTCGCAGGGTCAAACAAGCCCTTCTTTTTGCTCTGATTGAGGAGGCTCCATGGACAGCATGTGTTGCCAGCAATCTCCACCCAGGTCTCCTGCTCCTGGGGGTGCTCCGCTGACGTACTCGGCGCTCTTGGCGAAACCGGGCACTCCTTGCCGCAATTCGCGCACTCGCACTTCTCCCTCGATACGTTCGCAAGCGCACGCGGCAGCGGCGGTCATCGTGCCCTCGCGTGATCAAACGCCCTCCCAAGGGCAAAGCTGCCAGCGCAAGTCCCAACATAACTTTCCGTAATCACGATGTTCTTGGAGGTGAAAGTAGACAGGTTGCGACGCGAATGGTGCCGCTCGCATTGCTCCAGGAGGCGGGGCTCCCACGTCAGTAGCTCGACCAAGTCGGCTTTCTCTCTTTGCAGGTTCACGGTTGTGCGAGACCGGCTGCGCCTCCTCTGCCGACCTGGACTGCGTCCGCTATCGCTCCCACGCTGGGTGGACAGCATGAGATATGAGCGCCGGCCGCCGGCGGCGTCGCCAGCGTTTTGCGCGCACAGATGCGCACCTAAGCCAAAATGGGCTCATGCGATGACGGTGGTGATGCTGATGTGCTGATGTGCTGATGTTACGAATGGCGACTGGCGACTGGCGACGATAGCGACGTTGACGGCGATCGGCGATGGCGCTGGCGCGCTGCGTGCTGGGAGCTGGCGATCACGACGGTGGCGACCCTAGGGACCTAGGGGCCGTGCATCGAAAACATGTTCGGCTAGTTGTCGGGGCGTCCGGGGACCCCCTGGCCCCTGGGGCCGCGCATCGAAAACCTTGGAGCGCGCGGATGTCTGGGGAACCGGGAACCTCACACCTCACGCCCTCGTCCGTCCTCCGCTTACTCCCCCATCCTTGTCCGGCTCCTCCGCGTTCCCGCCTCCTCCCGCCCCCCCCCTCCCCTCTCCCCTCCCACTCCCCCTTCTCCCACCTCTCTCCCCTCTCCCCCTTGCCCCTTGCCCCCCTTGGGGGCGGTGGCGACCAGGACCGGCATCTTATGTTAGCCGATTGAAGTGCAACGATAAACGATAACCCCTCCTGCTGGATCGAAAATCTGGGACGCCACAGCCAGGGCCCGCCGAGTTCGCGGCGTCGATCGTCGATAACAAAGCACGTCTGAGACGACCTCGCGGCGAAGCCAAATCGCGACTCGAGCGACCCGCCAGTCGACGAGCAGTTGCCCAGGGCCCAGGGCCCAGGGCCCCAGAGCATGCGCTAAGTGCGGGTTGCGGGGGCCCGACGGCCCGAACGCCCGACCGCCCGACCCGATAACTCATCAGCCCCGTCCGCTCGCGAGAGAGGCGATTGACAAAAGCGAGTCCTCCTGGGGGGTAGCCGACGCGCCCGCAGATGTCGGCGCAGGCGCAGCCGATGCTGAAGCAGCAGGTCCCGATGATGCCGATGTTGCGCCTGGGCGGGGGGCGGGGCGCGGGGCCATCCCTCTCTCTCTCTCTCTCTCTCTCTCTCTCTCTCTCTCTCTCTCTCTCTCTCTCTCTCTCTCTCTCTCTCTCTCTCTCTCTCTCTCTCTCTCTCTCTCTCTCTCTCCTCTCTCTCTCTCTCTCTCTCTCTCTCTCTCTCTCCTCTCTCTCTCTCTCTCTCTCTCTTCTCTCTCTCTCTCTCCTCTCTCTCTCCTCTCTCTCTCTCTCATCTCTCTCTCTCTCTCTCTCTCTCTCTCTCTCCTTTTTTTTTTTTTTTTGTTTTTTTTTTTTTTTTTTTTTTTTTTTTTTTTTTTTTTTTTTTTTTTTTTTTTTTTTTTTTTTTTTTTTTTTTCTCTCTCTCTCTCTCTCTCTCTCTCTCTCTCTCTCTCCCTCTCTCTATTTCTCGACCCTGGCCCCCCGCCTGCACGCGCATGTGGTTCGCAGTGTGTTTTCCCTGATATTTCCATGCGCGTGCCTGTATGATTTTATATATATATATATATATATATATATATAAATGTGCCTGCGTAACATAAATGTGCATCTGCACATGCACAGACAATCATAATCACGCATACATGTATGCATACTTTTTGCATGAACATACGTGCGCGTATCGATCTACAACCATGCATGCCGCACTCTTGTTCGCTGCGCGCCAGGAGTAGGCCATGTGCCTGATCCCTAATATCAAGCACGGATTGCCAGATAGACCGCCCCGAACAACCACGCAAGAAAACGCAACATCCCAATTCGCCATGTTGCGAGCCCGGGGCGCCTGATGCACCCTCACACGACGGGGGCGCGATCGGCGGCGGCACGCTCTCATCGTTGTCGACGGTGATGACCTCGCCGGCCCCCCAAGCCCCAAGCCCCGAGCCCCAAGCCCCAAGCCAGAAGTCCATCCCCGCAAACGCGGTGATCACGTGATCCCGCGTCCCGGGTTGCCTCAATAGCTTTGTCGGTCGTCGGTCACTCGCTAGCTGACTCTTAATCCTAGCTTCCGAACTCCCTAGCTCCCTAGCTCCCTCCTGGCCTCCTGGACTCCAGGCGAGACTCGGCTCCCTGCTCCCCGCCCCAAAGACCAAGTTCTTCTGATCTTGCTCCAGTGGAAGCATGGACGCCGGCTGCGTCATCTCCTCCATGCGGCCAGCAGGGATTATCGGGAAGCCCTCTTTGTCGATGGGCAGCGCGCCATCGGGATCTTCGTCTCGGGCCAACATCTCACGTTGGCTCGCCTGGAGATCCGCCCAGGCATCGTCTTCGTTCTCGGCGTGGAACGGGCGTGCGGTAACCTCACCATCCCCCGCGAACTCTGGCGGCGTCGAAGGGATACGAGTTAGTGTCCCGTTTGGCAGGGAATCGGTTGGCGTCCGCGGAATGATAGTGCGTGTCCCGTTTGGCAGGAATTCGGTTGGCGTCGGCGGAATGATAGTGGGGCCCCTGACTCGCTCGCCTGTCACCACCGCGTCGCCCCCACTAGCGGAGCTATCTCTGCCGGGCGGGGTCTGGATGAGCCGCTGACTGGGCTGGATCTGGACGAGCTGGCTGACGCGCCCGCAGCCTCCCCTCCCCCCCCCCCTTCTCCCCTCTCGCATCTCGCCCTCCCTTCCCTCAGCCCCCAAGCTCAGCTGCCCCTCTCTGCTACGCGCGACGCATGCCACTCTCTCGAATATCCACCAGCGGCCAGCGGAGCCCCCCATGCCATGCACCATGCATTATGCAACGGTGAACACGCATCACCAACATCGGATTTGCACCAATCACGAGCCACGAGCCCTGCGTCGCCGATGCCGCAGTCAGCCCTCCGCTCGCCGCTCGCCCAATGCACATATTCAAAATGCCGCTCACTCCACCCCTCCCCGCCGTTGCATGACATCGGGAGTTGACAGCTGGCACGCATCGCCCATGAGGCCTCCATTGGTCGTCGGCCCTCGCCTGACCCCGACATGCGCAGGCAGTTGTGGCGCCCTGCGCCCTGTTCCCTGTTCTTCGAGCCCAGGGCCTCGGATGTCGGATGGACAACTTGTTTCGGATGTGCGAACATATATACACAACAGCGCACGTTCGCATGCGTACACATGTATATTGTATATGTATGTTAATGTGTAGATGTGTATACCCATGCATATATGAGCCACGCACGGTTGTGCATATGTCTGTACCGAAATGAATGATACCCCCCGTGCGCGCGCGCGTGGCCGGTGGCCGGTCGAAGGGCTCGGTTTCTGGCGGCGATGCTCCCATCTCACTCCCCGCCACTCGCACTCTCGCACCCGGAGGGCGCGTCAACCCTGCAACCGCCCCTCGCTCTTATCTGCAGGGGAGGCGTGCTGCGCGCGCATACATGCACTGCCCCAATGCTCACGGGCACTTCGCGCCTGGCGGAGTCGAGAAACGGACGTCGCAGCGATTGCAGCGACATCGTGGAGGAGGAGGAGGCGGAGGAGGAGGACGAGGAGGAGGACGAGGAGGATCTCCTTCGGCCTTTCGGCCTCCATCGGCTTCGGGCTTCGGTCGGCTCCACGGCGGCCTCTGGCGGTCTGGCGGCCTCCTGGCGGGCTCTTTCGGCTTCTACCGGCCCCGTGGCGGCCTGTGACGGCTTCGTTTGGCCTCTGGCCGCCTCCTGGCGGTCGCTCTCGGCCTCTGGTGGCATCCTGGCGGCCTCCTTCTCGGCCTCTGGCGAGGTCTTGACGGTCTCCATCGGCCTCTGGCGAGGTCCTGGTGGCCTCCCTCGGCCTCTGGCGGCCTCCTGGCGGCCTCCTTCGGCCTCTGGCGAGGTCCTGGCGGCATCTTTCGGCCTCTGGCGAGGTCCTGGTGGCCTCTCTCGGCCTCTGGCGGCCTCCTGGCGGCCTCTGGCGAGGTCCTGGCGGCCTCTTTCGACGTCTTGACGGCTTCCGGCGGCCTCCAGAGCCCAAACTGGCCTCCTGGCAGCCTCTGACGGCCTCCAGGCGGCCTCCAGGACCCCCGGCCGAGGTCTGGGCCCTGAATCGGGAACCGGAGGCCGACATCGGGAACGAATCGGGAAGGTTCCGGGCACCCCCCCCTGGCAGATTCGGGCACCGGAGGCCGACATCGGGAACGATTCGGGAAGGTTCCGGGCACCCGTTGGGGTCGGGGGGCCAGCTGGCACTCAGGAGGCCGACTGGGGCCTCAGTTTGGGGTCCAGACGCCGCCAGGAGGCCAAGGGAGGCCGCCAGGAGGCCAAGGGGGGCCGCCAGGACCTCGCCAGAGGCCGAAGGAGGCCGCCAGGAGGCCGCCAGAGGCCGAGAGAGGCCACCAGGACCTCGCCAGAGGCC